ATCTCTCGATCTCCTTCGTCTCCTCCGTGTCCGATCGTCTTCTTCCTCTTCTTCTTCCTCGTCTTCCTCATCTCCTTCGTCGTCGTCATCCTCATCCTCATCATCGGGTGGATCATCCGGAGGTCCTCCTCCGCCACCAGCGAGGCTCAACTGACGTCGACCCGCTCCCTGCCCATTCCCATTGGGCGGGAATCCACCGTAATCCAATGGGGGCGTAGTACCGTTGTTTCCCCCTCCATCACCACCACCAGTCGTAGTAGTGGATTGTGGGACATGCCCAACAACCCCTTGCATCTGGGATAGGTGTACATCGATCATTGGATCACCGAAAGACGGAAAGAGGATCGAACCTGGCATCAGCGACGAATTAGGGATTTGATTTGAAGACGATGACGGGACTGACCCAGCCACCTTCTTGTCTATCCTATTTGAATTAGCCTGGGTTCCTCCCTCAGCGCGTTTCACTACTGCTCGTTCACGATGTCCATCTTTGCTGCTGGAGGCTTCCTGTGTCTCCAGCTTCTTGTGTGCACGTAGTTCCTCGTTGTCAGCATCGAGTTGGCGTACAAAACTCTCTTCTTGCTTGAGCGTCGCCTCTCTTTCCTTCAGTTGTCCCTGAAGCTCATGCATCTCCTCGAGGTACTCATCGTACATTCCCTTAGCCGTCAATCTCCAGTACTCAGCCTCCTTCGACTTCTCGTCCATCGTGCACCGTTCCTCTTGTTTCTCTTCTTTGACCTGGGCTAACTCCAAGATCGCATCCTGACGATGACCACCTTCGACAGCAATCATCTGGTCCTTCATCGACACGTCGGACTCATACTGTTTGACGATCTCTTCTTTTTCGCGAAGCAAGCAATCTGCTCTCTTCGATTCCTGTTCCGCAAATACTGTAACGTCATTCAGCCTCGTCATCAGCTGTTCCCTGGAGTCCTCCAAAGAGTACGTCTCGGGGCGCTTGACGAGTGCATGCTCCAACTGTGATTTCAGACTTTGGACCATCTCCTCCTCGTTGAACTTCTCGATAGATGTAGAAGATTCTATGCCTCTGATCTGTTGCTGATAAACTGATATCTGTTGTGAAGCCTCACGGTGTATCTGATTTGCACGTATAGCTGATTCCTGCGCGGCCGACTTCTCGCTTGCCATGTAGGATTTCATCAATGCAATCTCCCGCTTCTGCTCCATGATAGTTCCTTCAGCTTGCCTCATCTGTTGCATTATAATATTCGACTCCATGTCTTTCTTCTCCCCGTACTGAAATGCGTTCATTTCCACCTTGCGCATCTGTTGGGCTTCTTCCTCAAACTTGCGCCATGCCTCAGCCATGTGGTGTTGGTGGTGACTCACTAGATGTCCCGACTGCTTGCTGGCAATCTCGCATCGTCTTTCCAGCTCCTGGATCCGGATGGTGCTTCCATAGTCTTCTTGGTTAAGATTCGCCATTGCTGCCGACATTTCATCAAGTGTCTTCTGATATTCCCCGATCTCCACCTCCATCTTATTCTTCTCTTTGATCACGGCGCGAAAATCTGCACTGGTGGGTGATTTTGACCTCCCACCCTTCGATGTCGATCTCACGCCCTTCTGCGACGTCCGTGGTGTCGCAGGCGAAGATGATGATCTTCTCGGTGGGGATTCTCTTTTCTTCGACTCCTGATGAACATCGATCTGCTTCCATGATCTTGTGGGAGTAGATATGTCGCTGAATAGCGCGGAACCTCCGCTCCCAGGTTCATCCTGTGAATCTGCAATCATATCCATCACCGCAGGAAGAGCCATCAATCCATTGGATCCCTCTGAGCTGCTGTTCCCAAAAGTTGCAGTACTTGGGCTCGCCGAAGACGCCATTGTACTGTGTAGTTATCGTTCCTTTATTGTCCCTGTACCCGCAATAAACCAGCTGTCTCCCAGTCCAGTGTAGAGCTTGTAGTTACGGCTGATAACCTGTCAAGAGACGGCAAGGTGACGTCCCGTGGGACGCTGTGCACCGAACCCTCAAGCTTCAATACCAACCACGTAGAAAGGTGTATACGGACGATGCCGTTATAGCCGAACCCGTGTAAACGTTGTAAGGAAGAAGGAATGATAGTTACACCAGTAGTCCTGACAATGCAGCGCAAGCAGTTGTTTTGCTCTTATCGCCCGTCACGAATGTTCGCAGTCACACATCAGATCTTGAACCTCAATTGTGTCTTGAGCCAAATGGCGATCAATGGAACTTGGGAAGCAACACCAACAAGGACCTCAGAACAGCTACCCAATTTCGGCACGGGGCCTAGAGGGTTTTAACATAAAGCAAGTGCTTCCCAATGAGCGGTAGATTGGCAAAACACTGTGTTCTTTGCAGCCACCCCCCCGACTAAACATGTGCAAAAACAAAGAAAACACTATATAAGCACAGTAAGAAAAACAGAGAAGAGTAGAAAACCCATTGCCAAGTTTGCGCTTGGAAATGTGTGGCCCTTGTTTGGTCCTAACAGTATGACTTAGGTTTGCATCTACTTGAGGAAACCCTGCAATGGGAGGTCCCAACAACATTATTTTCATATGAAACAAGCAACTTGTTTAAAAGGGAGCCCTCACAAACGAGACGCGTGGCCGTGACATCCTTGCAAAATCAACTCCCCACGCTGGCGTTTCCGGCAGTGGTTTCAAATCTGAGGGAGGCGCCCAATATCCCACCACTGTGCCCATGATGCCAGGCCTGCGAATCAATGCCAGGCACCCGAAACGAGCAGCATACAATCAACACAAACAAACAGCAGACAAACACGCAGACAGGCAGACAGACAGACGGCCAGCCAGATAGACAGATAAACCGACCGAACCGACAAACAGACTGGCAGACAAACAGAGCGCCAGCTAGCCAGCCAGCCAGCCAGGCAGGAAACAGACAGACAGACAGACGGACAAACAGACAGACAGGCAGGCAGGCAGACAAAAACACAAACAACAAACAAACAAACAAGCAAACATGACTTTCTCCCAAACAAACATACAGACAAACTAACTCATACCAAAGCAAATCAAACCAACCCAAGCAAACATACAAACAAACGCATCAAATCAAGGTCAGGCAGGCAGGCAGGCAGACAAGCAAGGAAGCAAGCAAGGAAGCAAGGAAGGAAGCAAGGAAGCAAGCTTGTCAAGCAATCAAGCAAGCACACACACACCCAAACATACAAGCAAGCAAAGCAGCAGCCCCACACACGCAACAACAAACTCAGGCAACGATTGAAGCACCCTTTCTGTCAGATTTATCCAAGTGCACAAGGATTTGTCCTCGATGCCCCGAGAAAATCCATGGGGCTGGAGGCCAGTGGTTGAGACAGCCAAAGAATGCCAAACTGTCCAGCTTGGCCCCCCGCAAATCACAGGAAGGCAACAGACAAAAGGGGTCCCTGCAAAAGGTCCGCTTCTACCCAGCCAAGAATCAGCCACCTTTCTTCAGGATCAAAGGAATCTCCCAAAGATTTCAAAAGCCGAGGTCTTACCAAAGATGCAACATACAAAAACAGTCCGACATAGATTGCATGGAGGAACCAGGAGCTACTTGGAATGCACTAGGCCCACACGAATCTCCCCAAAAAAACAAACAAACGATGGCGCCGGTAAATTTTCGAAGCCCAACAAAAAAACACATTTCTCAACAGAGCTGACCTAAAAGGACCGCTATGCTGGCGCAACCCTTGCGCCTCTGGAAGTTGGCTCCCCGCAGCGCACCTGAGACGGACACCTTTCCCAGTTGGGGACATGTCCGCCCATGGATTCCATGGCCTGACCAACATGCGAACAGTCAAGAAAGCAGGGGGTGTAGTTTCCACCGAAGAAAGCCCATATCGGCCGCGTCCCGATGTTCCAGGTTGTCTTTTGTTTGAGTCAAAAGCGGATCGAAACCTCATCCCAGGTTCAACTCCATCGGTTGCCAGAACGAACAAACAGGACAAACAGCGGAAACAAATTGCCGCTGAGCCAAACTCCTGAAACAAAAAGACGAGCTTTGCCACCCACCATAAGTTCATCAGATACATAATACTAATACCTTGGCCCACAAAACATGTTGAAGTTTGAAAGATTGGCTTTGACCTGAGAATGAACAACTGGCTTGATGACTTGCGAATGGGTCCACGGGACAAAATGGAACTCTGAAGTCTTTGGGTGCCCTTCGGACCAAAGCAAGCGAAGTCAAAGAAATATACATGCCCGCCAAATCCGCTGGAACGTGCAGGTAACCAAAGAAGCGGCAAGCATATGTATATATATATATATATGATTATATTATATAAATTTGTACATAATATATATATATATAATAATTGGTTGCCTATTCGCTTGGCATAGATGAAAGTGCGAGTATGCAAGATGACAGGGTTTGCCCTTCTGACGACATCACTCTTCAAACATAGGCCAAATGGACGCGATTAAGGGCTTCCGCGGCTGACCAAAATCGGTGATCCATCATGGAGGAAGCCTTTTGGCTGGTGCCATTGCCGCGAAACACCCATGTGGCACTCGGGAAGGTTCGAATCAGAGAGACATCCCAAGCTGAAAAAGGGGTCTCCAAACGTCCTCTCCAGGTCCGGTGATTCTAGCTTCGGGCCTTCTGGAACTGGAACGTTGACAAAACATTGAACAACCAAACTGGTTGGAGTCAAAATGGTTGAAACCCAAAATGGTTGAAACCCAAAATGAAAATGGTTGAAACTTGAGGTTGATCAAACACCAGCATGACACAAAGTCGAAATGGTTGCAACCCAAACTGGATAGAAACCGCAACGGTCAAACACCTAACAGGGGCTCAATCAGCCAAACATCTTCAAAACATCTTGAAATGAAGCTCCTTCAGGTGAGTCATAATCAAAACTCGGCAGTAAAATGGTCGACCCAGAACCATGCTTCAAGAATTAAGAAGGCGGCCGCAGCTATTTATGGTTGGGATTGTCGCTAACTAACCTTCATCCACCCTGGTTTTGAGCAAGTGGCTCAGGTGGACTCACTCACCCCGTTGTTGCCCCCAGGAACCCCGCGCTGCGCCATGCGCGCCACGCGCGCAACGTTTTGCGAGGCGTGGCGCCGTAGAAGGTCATGAGCAGGGCGTAGGCGGGCACACTGAGCACCAGCCCCAGGGAGCTGGTCTCCAGCAGCTCCTGGACTTTCTCGTCCTCGCAGACCAAACTGTGCCGAAGCCCAAAGACTCTACCCCCGCCTAAAAAAAGGGGGGTGGTTCGAATCCGAAGATATCTCCCCCCCCTCCCAAATAAAACAGGGGGAGATTCGAATCCCCCCCCCCAAAAAAAAAGGGGGAGATTGGAGATTCGAAGATATCGCGGAAGTGGTTGGAGAAACCCCCTCCCGCAACCCGGGAGTCCTGAACCAAACGGAGTCTTGGGCGATCGGTCACGTCCGATGGTCCGAGTGGGGGTCACTAGAGAAACCACCCCAAAGAAGTGCTTTGACGTTCACGACATGGGCAAAGAGACCATGATATCATTTTGGGGGCTCAGGAATATGGATCAACCCTGATTTGTTTTTTTAAGTTGATGTCCCATTCATGTTTGCGTTGCTGGACTGGGGGGGGGGGGGGTTGGCTGGTTTCCTGCTGTTATTAGAGGGGATTGCAGATCACGGATTCTTTGATCCTCCAGTTATGCTTGGAACTGACCCCCTGGGATAGGCCGACGGGTTTTTGTTCGCCCTGGCACTCACCTGCCCCTCTTCCCCGAGTAGACCGATGCTCCGCTGGGCAAATAAGACGGGCAATTCATTGTTGGAACATATCGAACTCCCTTTGAAAAGGTGTGTTGCAGAGCACTTTGCAAGAGGATTGTAAAAAACAAGTTACTAATCCACACAGTTTCCCTTTCTAAGGGGGTCACAGAAGGGTCCAAACCCTTTTTTTGAACGACCAGGCACTTGGAGGATGGGGGAGGGCGCTATAGTCAGGAGGGGAACAAGGAAGCTCCAACCCTTGCCACGTCCCCGGTAAAAGAAGAGGGATCGTTCGTCCTGAACTTTAGCCTTTCAGAACCCTCTCGCACCCTCTCACATTGCAACTGGCTAAAGCAACGCGCTCCATCCCACATTGGTTGGTGCGCGCTGGCATGGCACATGACAGAGGCTTCGCCTCCTGCACAAAACATAAACACATGCTTATGGCACGCATACATGAGTTCCCTAAAGCCAAAGACTCAAGGACTTTGCTATGGTCAGGAGTCAGAGATTTGGGTACCCTGAAGGAACCGACCATGGGCCAGTCCGGAAGGAACCCCGCGAAAAGGGTTCGTGGTTTTGTGGCTGGCCGTAGTGGCTCCGTCTCAGGCATCTCAGCCCCGAGCAAAACGGAGGACATGTCAGACGCCGCCTTACAACTGCCCTTCCTTCCACTAACACATCACCTGTTTCCAGGGCCACTGGAAGAAAGGTTCCTTGTCCATTGAAGGACATCTGTTCAGAGCTCCCTGCGGACCCCCACTTGGACCAAAAGAATTCACTCGCAAGGTTTTTTCTGGCGCGGCTCCTCGGTGAACATCCGGGCGAAGTCTGACTTGAAGATCTCATAGCTCAGCGCTACTATCAATGAGGTCACCTCAGGGACTGGACTCAGAGCTGAGCAAAACCAACTCAGGGGCGCCTACATCCAACCTTGGCCTTCCCAGGACCCGCAAAACCCGGGTCCTTCTTGATGTTGATCTTGGCTCCAAATGGAAATTCGGCCAAAGGCCTGCTTTTCCAGGGTCCTAGAAGATCAAGGAAAGTTCTATCTTGTATGTTGCTCCTAACCACCCCTATGACGGCAGCATTGCTGACATGTTGACGGTTGCACATGGTTGCACAAGAAACAAGAAAAAAAAAGAAGTCCCTTTTCCAAGAGGGACCTGCATGGTACACGTGGCTAAGACCCCATAGCTTTCGCTCTTGGGCAAAAGCCATCCTTACCCCGCCCAGTCTGACAAAATGGAAGCCGGGCACCGGGCCAATGCGTTGGCCCAACCAGGTGAGGTTAACTGTGCAGATGAATCAAAGAACGGTGACCAATTCTAGTTCCCGGAATACATGGCTGGTGCGAAGTTGGTTCCATGTTGAGCTGAAGTTTTTGTGCTTGTTACATAGCACACAGAGCTGTTGTGCCACAGTGCCCCTCTTCTCTCAGTCTGTCGAAGACGGGGGTCTTACTGAGGTGACTGGTCTGCCGCTCAAAGACTAGCACAAAGAACACGCGCTGTAGAACTCGACCCTTCGGAGAGTGACACCGAAGCGACAAGGCTAGCCCAATTGAGACCCTTGGGGCAATCTCACGGAGGGAGGGAGGGAGGGAGGGAGGGAGGGAGGGAGGGAGGGAGGGAGGGAGGGAGGGAGGGAGGGAGGGAGGGAGGGAGGGAGGGAGGGAGGGAGGGAGGGGGAGGGAGGGAGGGAGGGAGGGAGGGAGGGAGGAGGGGAGGACAGACAGACAAACAGACAGACAGGCAGGCATGCAGGCAGGCAGGCAGACAGGCAGGCCTTCCGAAAGGTGGGGGAAAAAAAAAACGAAGCCCTGAACTCGCAAGGGGCGCAGAATCAATCTTCAGCCAGAAGAGGGGGGGGAAACCGAACGAGCCGAAACTGCTGGCCCTGCTGGCCCTTGCCCGGGGCTCCATCGGATGTCGGCTGCGCTTTAGTCAGGGCGCCAGACTAAAGAGCCCCGCCGTGTAGAGCAGGGGCCGAATGCGCCGGTGCTCGTTGGCGCCCAGTGCGTTGCCCACCAAGGTGCAGACCCCGGTGCAGGTGCCTCGAGGCGTTGGGAACCAACAGCTGCCAAAAAAAAAAATGAGCAAAGCTCCAGGGGCGCTTGTACATACCCCTTTTACATAATCCTTGGACAAATTCATACCCGTCTACTATACCCCTTACAAAGTGGGTTGGACACCAGGAAAGCTAAGGGGTATGAACAAGGGGTATGTATTGCCACCCTTAGAAAAGCAGGGCAACCAAACCAACCAACTAGACCAAGCCAAAGAAGGCACCAAAGAAGGATTTCTCTTTCATCCAGAAAGAGTTCCCCTCGAATTACTCGGAATAGACCAACAAATGAGTTTAAGCAATGCATATATCTAATCATGTGGATGATGGCAACCAACCAATATCTGACCAGCTGGATATTGGTGACGACAAACACATGAGTGTATGTAACAGACACATTGCAATTATTGTGAACCCCAAGGTGACTTCAAGGTTGTTCAATTGGTCGAGATTTTGTTTAGTGTGTGTGTTTTTTTTTTGGGGGGGGGATTTTGCCTGGCTAGTAAAATGCTGCATTTTACAGCATTTTCTCACGAAATGTACGTACTTTGCGCAAGTCCGTCAACATCATCAGCATCGTTTTCAACATCCCCCGCATGTCCAGCCAACATCCCCAGCATCACCAGCAAATCGAGGGCGGGTCCCCCTCATGATGGTAAAGTGAGAATTCAATTACGGACGCAATCCCTGTAAAACACCTAAAACGTAGCGGCCTGGGGAGGGTTGGGGGGGGCGGCAGCCCCCCTGATGATCGAAAAAATGATGATTCAATTAGGGCCAAAAAGTCTAAAAAGCAGCGGGGGGGTTGGGGCAGGCTGGGGGGGCGGCAGCCCCCCCCCTGATGATCGAAAAGTCCATGATGATCGAACATTTATTTAGGGGCAAAGTGATGATCGTGCATTTTAATCGAAAGGGAGGTGGCGGGGGGCACCAGAGAGGAACTGGCGATGCTGAGGATGCAGGAAGCCAGGGCCAAAAACGAACTGGGAAAGCAGAGGATGCGAAAAGCCTCATGAACCCACAAAGACAAACAGAGAGGGAGTCTGAATGCAGAGGATGCGAAATGAAAAGCCGCAAAAACCACAAAAACCCAAGTAAAAACCACAAAAGCCAAAAAGCCGAAAGCCCCCCACCCTCAAAAACAAAAACGATTCCAATTAGAAGTCACTGAGCAAATCACTACAGTAAATTAAAGCAGGGACTAGTACATAGACACCATGCCAGCTGTATCATGTATGAATATGAATATTATGCTGTCCTCTTGGGCCGGGACACTTACAGCTGGATAATGACCCGAAGCTGGTGGCTTCTTCCCTATAAACGACCCTTTCTTGAGACTCAATATGTGGTCATTTCGGGAATAACTCGATCTCAAAGACCGACTCTCAGCGCATGGATCCCATGTCCGAGGTTTTCAGGAAGTTTGCTTCCTGGAAACAGTTCCCAATCAAGACACACAAACACGAAAGGGAGAATTCCTTGTTTTGCATGGGCATCTATCAGGAACTGAAATGTCGGGATTGTGCTTCGTGCCCCATTCGGAGACAAACCCCCATTTCTGACACGCCGGCAGAGAGCGACACCAGCATCGCGCAGTCTGAATCGGAGTGCGAAGCTCAGGCCGCGACTTGTCCAGCACATGTAGAACACGGCGATGGTGTTGAACCTAAGCGAAGGTGAAGAAGGCTCACTTGCGAGCTAGATGATCAACAAATATAGGTTGATGAGGGTAGAAATACAAGAGGCCGTCAAACGTTGGAGACTGGCTCAACTGCCCAGGGCCGTTTTAACGAGATGCCAGGTTGATAGCACAAGAAGAAATAGCGGCTTGAGCGGAAGAATACTGCCCAACACCAACCTGACCTCACTTTATGGACTACATGCGCCCACTTGCTTTTCTGGCTGCATTGAGGCCTCTGATTTTATTTTTTGCCAGTCATGAAGCCTCCCCACCCAACGCAACACAAGTAAAAAGGGCCTGACCAAGAAGAGTTTGTTCTAGGGGTACCTTCCCCATTCTTTCCACGCACCCTTCTTTCTAAAAAACCACCTAAAAAGCAACCTGGGGAAACAGCGATCGGCTTGTCAAGAGAGCCATGGTTTTGTCTCGAATGGAAGAGGACTCAACCCCCAGAACTTCACTCACTGGCCAGGAAACCCCCCAAAGGCTGGAAAACAACCCCTGGCCCAGAGGCGGGCAAGCCCTTCTCGCCTCCTGTCATCCCACATGCCCACTGGCCGTCAAAATCAAACGAGCCATTGGCCCCCGAAATGAGATCAAGAAAATTTGGGGCGACTCAAAGACGAGCTGACAACGGGTCCCAAGTCGCAACCGCTGACTCAGAGAAGCAATCCGGCCGGAAACCCAAGACCCCAAGCCCCAGGCCCCAGTCCATTCTTTTGCTTTTCTCCAAAAGGCATGGTCCCGTGGGCTGCCAAGTTGGTCACCGCGTCTGGGGTGCGGCCCACCATCAGGGACAAGCCCTGCGAATCGCTCGAAATGGTCTCACCAGGTTTCCAATGCGTTCTTTGGGATGGATAGATGGCTCCGGTGCGGAAAAGGCCTTTCAAAAACCCAAAACAGCACCCCCCCTCGACATGGCCAATTTGGCATCACCCCAGAGGAAATCGGAATATCATTTCTTGGGCCAACATTTTAACTGCGCCTATCTCCATGACCCTTCTAAAGATTGGGGAACGGCACAACGGCACAAGCTCAACATGGTGAGCCTCACGAGCGAGCCCCAGTCGTGGAGTTTCCAGGTAGCCTAAATAAACACACGAGCCCCAGTCGTGGAATAAGCAGGAAACAAAGAACAACACCTGGACCACCCTACTCCTCGAAACCACTGCCACCCATCGAAAGCTGCATCACAAAGGAAACCCCAAATTTATATTTTTCCATGAATGGATGGTTGTTCTCAAAATGACATATATGGCTTCATACCAGGCAGCTATGTGGGTTCGTATACTTCAACCAGACAGTAGCTGGCTGTGCTCCTCAACTTCGTTGATTGAGTTGGTCTCGGCCTGGGGGAAGCTTGGCCAACTCGTAAAGGTGGCAAGGAACAGGTGAGGATCCAAAAGGGGTTGCTCATGCAATGCCAACCTGCATACCTCCCTTGCACGAAGGGGCGCCTTTGTGTAACCGCCAGGCCAGAGGTCCCTCCTACCTGGAGCAAGACAGTCCGGGACAGGCCCGGGTGCTTTCGGGACAAACGCAGTCTCTTCATGCTGCAAAAATGGCCCACATTCACTCCACTGGGCCACCAGCGATCATCAGCTCACCAACGGTGGATGGATGGATGGATGGATGGATGGATGGATGGATGGATGGATGGATGGATGGATGGATGGATGGATGGATGGATGGATGGATGGATGGATGGATGGATGGATGGATGGATGGATGGATGGATGGATGGATGGATGGATGGATGGATGGATGGATGGATGGATGGATGGGAGCGACCGGACGTACGCCTTGCAGCGCGGTCCCTCCTGCCATCGCAGTCGTCCCTCCGCTTGCATCAGTGGGCCAACTCCGGTTTCGAGTTCAACGTGGCGCTGTCCCAAACACAAAGCAGGTGCGGGCAGAGCAAATGCAACTGCTTGGTCAGGCCAGCCAGCCGCACCTCCCGAGGAATCATTGCCATGCATAAGCTAAGGGTAACAGCGCTCGCTTCCCGCTGCAGTCCCCCAGAGCGGAACTAAGCCACAACAGCAGAAAGGGCAGAGCCCCGACCTTGGTGGTATAAGAAGCTTGTGGACTCAAGTCCAAGGCGTCGTGCGGGCACATCTTGTAGGTTCAGGCTATCAGGTCATTGGCTTCAAAGGGAGTACACGATTCCTTTGGCACCTCACATCCAACTCTTCAACCCGACCAAAGATCTCCAAAAGCCCCGCAAGGTCATAAGCCCTTAGCAGATGCCCCACCCTTGAGGATTGACACGAGCCCCTTGAGAAAATTCGTCCAGTTCCCTAAAAAGACCACCTTTGAGGATCGCTTGCTTCAGCCCCATTTCGGTTTGACCATTCTTCGCATTTCATTTGTTTCACAGAAGAGAAGCAACTTGTTTGTTTGAGGTGTCTTTTTTGGGATTGCTTCTGAGAACCAAAAGGAAAACAGAAGCCCCTTCATGCTCCTGCACTTGAGTGCACGATTTGAGGGTACCCTTTACAGATTGGTGTCGAAAGGAAACCAACATCGAAGCCGTGAAATTTTGCACCCTGTACATGCCAACAAGGACTAGTTTCTACCGTGGTTTCTTAGGTGCGAAATAGATTTCATCCATCCATGAGCACAGCCCCCCCGCCGGGCCGGCCCAGCCGGCCGGCCTCGAAAGCCCACCACTCAGACCACACCACCAGTGCCGAAGGGATCGAGACGGCCAGATACTCCCGAAAGGCGCCCGCCTCGCATCGATCGGTCCGCCGAAACTTTGTTTTTTTGGCGCTCGGGTGGGTTTTTTGTTGTTTTTTCCTGGACCCAAAAAAGTGGCCCCTTCCTTTTGCCTTTCTGCCCCAAAAAGGAATTATGGGTCAAAGGCAGAGAACAAATTGGCTTTTGGGGGGTCTAGGTCTGCCTATCGGACCAGTGATACTGGTGATGCCACATGAATCATGCTGCATGGTGACAAAGGGAACAGCTTGCTTTTTGCCACAACTTGGATGACCCCTGGATGTTTCTGTGCGGCCCCACCCAGTGGAATCGGAGGTGAACCAAGCCGGCTCTGGCGCGAATTTTATCAATTTCAACACGAACCGTGTCTCGTTCTTCGCGAGGAGAGCTCCCTAACTTCGCACCTCTTTGAAAAGGAAACTCGCTGGTGCTCAATAGGCACTGAGGGAATGAACCTGCGAGTAATCTTAACGCAAACCACCAGCTGGATGGTGTGGGTCAGACTCCATTTCTCATTCCCTGCATCTCTCGCACCTAGGAAACCAACCAAACGAAACGTTTCAAGCCGGGCTGTTGCCTCAAAGCCGCTGGGCTGGTTGCTTTCTTTCCTTCGGTTTTCAGGTGTCCGTTTTTCGGCTTCGACCTCACCGGCGACTGCAGGGTGGGCTTGGGGACATGCCTTGGTCTTCCCTTCAAACCCGCAAAACCAGGGTCCTTCGATCCGATTTTGATCTGGGCTCATGGAAGTTCGGCCCTAGGATTTTGCTTTTCCAGGGTGGAAGATCAAGGATGGATCAACCAGTTGCGTCTCTGGCCCGTCTCGGCTGGTAAAACCGCAAAACTCTAGACTAGTCGACTGGTCCCAAGGGAAACGCCGGAGTCAACCATCTAAACATTGGTCAGATTCCGCTGCATTGCCAAGCGAAAGGCAAGACGCTCAAAAAGAAACGAGCCTCTCCTTACTCAAAGGCTCACAACGTGGCGGCCCTCAAATACGGCCCTTGCAGTTTGGAGTTCTTTTTGGGGAAGGGGCCCCGAAGAATGCCCCAACAAAAAGGCCCAGCGCTTTTGTGAGGATGTTGTTGCGCAACTTTGAAGACGCATCCCAAAGAACCAGGCCTTTCCCAATTCGGCGATCCCTTCTCGCTCTCATTGACAGGAACAGTTCAGGTATGCAACTATGAAGTATTCCCAAGACCGCCAAAACCAGCCCAGGGGCCGGATGATTTTGGACCGTGGCTTTGAGTTTTCTTGTCTTTCGGTCCCGAATGCAAATAAACTAGCATCAGTTGAATCACTTTGGCTGTGAGCCCTTCTGCAACTACCTGTGTCTTTGGCAGGTTGGGCTAAGCGCACTAAAATCATGACCTTTGGCATGTTCTGTGGCGACTCTTTGCCCCGCAAGTCGAAAAAAAAAAGAAAGGTCGCTTCCATTTTATTGGGCCTTGCGGTAGAAGCAAGGCACCAGAGTTCAACCACAGAAGATAGAAATCAAAGCCATCGATTCCACCAACCCGTTTTTGGGCTTGTCCATTCTTGTGGGCAAGAGGCTTGTCGCTTGTCTTCCCCCGCCCATCCGGGAAGAAATCGGCTCGCCTTCAGCACGGGCTCGGCGTCTGGACTCCGGTGCCACACGAAGTGCTGCAGGCCCCGGCACTTGATGACCCCAGCCATCACCACGCAGCTGATCACGCCGCCTGACCGCTTGCCCCTATCTCTACAGGGCTTTCCCCGGAAGGTTTCCCTCTGATGCAGCCCACAAAACAGAAATCACATTGCCAAATTCAACGGATCTCGGCAATGTACGCAAGAATTCAAACTTGGAAACTAGGAAATGAGTGAGGCACTTTCCTGGGTGAGCTCGCAATACCCCCGAGCTTGCTATAATTTGGGCAGACAGATTGCAAGTAAGCGACGCGGGCACAAGGAAATGGGAAAATTGGTCTCCCTCAGTTTTTGACTTTTCACGTCGTTTCGTTTCGGGCTTCAGAAAGGGCAAGACTTGTTTCCAGTCTGGTCACTGGGCCACGGGTGACGCAGAATTCTCGCCAGCTGGAGTCAAACATTTTCTGGAGACACAAGGGCAAACAACATTCATTGCCCTCCATCTGGGTGAGTTATAATACTTCACCAACTTGAAATAAGGTGGTTGGGGGGCTACTCCCCACATAAACCACCATTTGGAGTGAGGTCGTGTGAGGTCGTTATAGTTCACCCAGCCTCCATGCAATATGGAACTTGACGTTATGGGCAAACCGGCGGTATTCTTCTGAGAGCCCTCTCAGCTTTCATGCTCGGAGGGAGGGTACCCCGAGTCTTATTTGAGCCACCACATGTTTAGACGACGCCCGCAGATCTTGGGGACAATATTTTACACAAATGGTTGTCAGGGCTCTAGATCAATACATTCAATGCTTGCTCAGTGTTGCTTGCATGACCATTCCATCAGACCACAAGACCACTGCAGGCACAGCGGCGGGGGGGGGGGGGGGGAATTGAAATATACGACATGAGTTTACGGCTTAAAGCCTTAAATCAAACCAAGGGATACAACACCTTGCAAGATGGACCAACACTGTATCGCGGCTTTCCGCACTGTTCCATATTTAGATCCGAGATGTTTATGGAGACCCTATCTGCAATTGTTTCATGGCACTAAGCACCTGTTTGGCTAAGCAACCAAACGTCACAAGTTGTTAGGTTCAAACAATGACAACATGTGTGCTTGTTGGGCTCTGAACGATAAGCGGTTGCAAAGAGTGGAAACAAACTGATTACTCATGGACAAAACTCCAACCGTTGACCTCTGCGACAAATGAACATCTCCTTCCCTAAAGGACGTAGCCAAATAGAGTGGCCGCAACAGGTCCCCCAAAAATGGAGTACACATATTCTGACTTGCTCATTTAACAGCCCTATCACAATAGTCTCTGTGACTGTTCGCAAAATTGAGACCATGCACGGGAACAACACCCAAATCATATGTGGTTCCCCCAGAGACAGCTGAATCCAAATGTCAAATTCGCTGCTTGACGCGTCTTTCGAATGGTAGTTCCTTGTGTTGCCGGACATGTTGCAAACCTTACAACTAGGTCCTCCAGTAGAGAGGTTAGAACAAGGGTACCCTTTTTTTAAAAAAAATAAAAAATAAAAATCTATTTTAGTAGGGGAACCCTCCCCCAAAAAAGTTGGTAAAAGGCCCTAGACAAGCAAGCCGCAAAGTGGCAAGCTCAGGCAATGCATGCATGTCCTCGGGGCCTGGCGGGCATTGCGTCTCCTTTGGTCAACAGGAGGAGGCCCTAACACAATACGCACATGCTCGGCGGGACCTATTTTGGCAACCTGGATTGGGGAGCTTTATGATTTCGCCGGGGAGTACGATTGGAAACCGGGCTGAGCAGAATATGTCTGTACTAGGCAAAAGCGCGCGAATTAGATTTACACGCATTCCAAATGTTGATCGTCCTGTCTTTGCACCTATCTTTCTTTTCAAACAGCACCCGCGATTCGGCAAAAAATGAGATTTTCGAAAACGATACATCCCTGGAATGTTGAACGAGCTCGGGTCTTTCCACCTTGATTTCTCCGTGGGGCCCGAGCCATTCCAAGTCAATTCGCACTGAAAGCTCCCGCCTAGTGCTCGTGCCAGCGCATTGCCCAGGTATCCCATGTTGCACAGCTCCGGCTTCATGAAAACCCAGCCTAAGTCTCTTGGCAGAACCCTGAAGTCAGAAACACAGAAGTTCGTTCAGGATCCTAAGACCTTGGAAAGGGCTAAAGGGCTTCCTTGAAGACGGCTCTTTGCAAGGTTTCTTGAAAACACCTCCTCAAGGATTTCTTGTAAAAGGCCGGCAAAGAGGACGGTGCCGATAGGGATTGCCCAACATGGATCCTCATCCCAGACGGGGGAACCCCTGCTGATTAGTCACAAGGTACTCGCAGTAGACATTCAGAGAAGACTGTTCAGAGAAGGATCATCTACAGAAATGAACGGGTTTTGCACCGGAAACCAGATCAATATATGGACAAACGCCTTGACTTATCAGATCTTATGTGTTCTTTTTCAGAAGAAAAACAACATGCTAAGCAGACATGAAGGAGAACAGGGGACACACATTGCATAAATTATCAGCTTTTGCTTTGAGGAACAAACTAAATACGGCAAAAGTACAAAAACAACCGCCTTGACTCAAGCGAGAGCCAGGATCAGCATTCAGTCTTAACCTCACGGGAAAGACATACAAAACAAAATAATCCTAAACCGAGGGCCTTGCCGCAAAGAAACATGCAAACAAACACCAAGCACACACAACACAACTTGGTTGACGTTGGGTTTGGGGAGCCAAAAATGGAGAAAAAAACATTAGCAGTTGAGTGAGTGCTTGGATTTCAATCACATTCAACCACAATATGCAAACATGTAACATGTTTCCCAACAACAACCATGACAAACATTGAAGAACGTCAATTTGACACCTTAAACCAACAGCTTCTGGCCTTGGGAACAAACAACCAAAACGGCCAGCAACGTAAGCTGTGGCTCCGGAACTCAGGCCAGGCCCCCGTGAAACCGCTTCAAAAAGAATCCGACTCGGCCAATTCGACCGATTTGGGCGCTCGAAATGGACTGAAATGGCAGCGGTGTCCAAGTTTCCCGATCGCGGTATCTTTCCCCTAACATCACCCCGCCGAAAGGAAACTCATCTCATGACCCAAAAGGTGATGTAAGCTTGGAAGAGGATCAATGTTGAACCCTGTCGCTGCTTCTCTAGCGTTCTTTGCAGAGATCCTTCTCTCCAGAAACCCACCCAAACCCCAAGGAAGATAGCAGCTTGTTGAAAAGAGCAACGGTTGAAAAGCAGGGAGATCAAGCCAGGAAGTTTGACGTGATTCCCAAGTGGATCGGCTTCTAGAGATTGAGTCCGAGCGGCAAAGCAAAATCTGCAGAGGCGAGCTGACCGCATTCCTTGGCAGCAATTTGGCGGTCGAAAGCTCGCCAAATACTGGAAGTAGGTTGAACAAGAGGAAACCCCACTGCGGGGTTCCCATGACCAAATGCAACCAATGTTTGCTTCACTTTTCCCAAGGTTGGCCCAAGGTTTGCTGATTTGCCATAGCTGAAAGCTGATGCCATTGGATCCCTTTCATTGTCCACACAACACGAGAACGGTACAGTCAAACAAACCTCGAGGATGCGCAATGTCCGAGTCATATCTTACTCTTCTGCCTAGCCCCGGACGCTGTGGGAAGAGGACTTTCCTCTTAGGGATACCAACCGTGGCGTCGATCTTGGCGAGGTATACTCGCAGCCGCCTTTCAAGAAACTCTGCTATGACTCGGCGTTACAGGCAGAGTGCCTTGAACTGCTCGACCCTGCGAGCAGTTCTGGATCGTTGCGACCGCTCTCCGCTCGAGCGCATCTAAAATCGAATTCAGGGGGCGCCACCAGCCCCGGCATGGTCATCTTGACCCCGTTCAGCGCGGTGTTGGCCGCACTGGAGAGCCACCAGAAGGGCACCCCGATCAGCCTCTGCAAGTCTAGGTCGCGTTTGCGGTTCGGTACTGAGAAAAACGGAGCCTTTCTGAGCACCGAAAGAAAAGAAGCCCCATTCATCAACCTCAACATTTTCTGTAATTAACCTCCCACCAACAAGCATGGCCAAGTGGTCCGGCAAGACGTATCTCCAAAAAGCCAAAAGGCTGGAGCGGATACGGCAGTTGAATCTTTGCCAATAAAGTTGGAAAACAGTAAATTATTGCAACCAATTTATAGAAAACGGGAACTCAGGCTGGGGTTGGAAATTCACTTGTAGTGGGGAACAAGGAAACCGAACCTTCACGGGCAAAACCAATTTCCACCTTACCCCAGAGCTGGATGCTTTGCCGTAAGACCCAAACCACGGGAGTCACGACCTTTCCATGGATGCATCAAGCAATCATCTTTGCGAACCTCAAACATGGGATTTGACACATCGACCTGAAACGCAAGGGGGTTGGGCCAACCTGTTCAAGCACTAAACCGTTTTGGTTCAAAAGAACCCCGTTGAGTCAGTTTTTTGCAGATGCCCCACCTGCCCCGAAGTGTCCAAAGTATCATCCTCCAACCACCAAGTCACTCTGAGAACACTCGTTCTCACGGGGCACAGAATCACCTCTTTACTCCCGCCCTGCCCCACCAATAACTTCGAGAACCGTGCACGTCCGTGGCCCAAAAACCAGCTTAGGCTGTGTCAAGATAGGGGCGCGGACCCAACAAATGCATGGGTATGGCTCAAAATGAAACCACCAGGATATGCACCGCAGGTTTGAATGTTCTTGGTTCAACAAAACCAGGGCAACCCATCTTGGGGTTACCCTATTTTTGACCACCACAGCCATATCTTGGCTGACGTTGGAAGGGGAGCAAAAAAAAAAAAAGCAGTTAAGTGGCTGGATTTCAACCACTAAACCACAATAAGCAAAAATGTAAAATGTTTCCCAACAACAACCATGACAAAACATTGGCAAAACGTCGACGTGCTTTTTTGTTTTTCTTGTTCAAGAACGTCAGTTTGACACCTTAAACCAAAAGCCCCTTTGTGCTTCTTTCTCATTGTGTCCTTTTCCCTCCCTCCCTTTTGACGCGCGCCGGAAAACGGCTCAAGCCAGGCGGCTGCACGCGCGCGAAGCGCGCGGAGGTCTCAGCTACCGAGGGCGGCTGCCCCATCGCCAGCAGAACGCTCTCGCAGCCCATGGCGGCGGTGAAGGCGAAAATGAAGCCTCGACCGCAAGCTTCTGGAAAGAATGAACCTGGAAATACCCATATCTACATGTGTATATATATAATATGGTACAGTGTTGCCATGCATGTGCATGTGCTTATGTGTATGTGTGTGTGGACGTATGTACGGGTGTGTGTGTGTGTGTGTGTGTGTGTGTGTGTGTGTGTGTGTGTGTGTGTGTGTGTGTGTGTGTGTGTGTGTGTGTGTGTGTGTGTGTGTGTGTGTGTGTGTGTGTGTGTGTGTGTGTGTGTGTGTGTGTGTGTGTGTGTGTGTGTGTGTGTGTGTGTGTGTGTGTGTGTGTGTGTGTGTGTGTGTGTGTGTGTGTGTGTGTGTGTGTGTGTGTGTGTGTGTGTGTGCGTGTGTGTATGCATATGTATCTGTGTATGTGTCAATATGCATATGTGCTGTGGCAATGTGTGTATATGCGTATGTCTGTGTCTGTCTGTGTCTGTCTGTGTCTGTCTGTGTCTGTCTGTGTCTGTCTGTGTCTGTCTGTGTCTGTCTGTGTCTGTCTGTGTCTGTCTGTGTCTGTCTGTGTCTGTCTGTGTCTGTCTGCCCGTCTGTCTGTCTCTCTGTCTCTCTGTCTGTCTGCCTGCTGTCTGTCTGTTTGTCTGCCTGCCTGGCTGGCTGTCTCTCTGTCTGTCTTTCTGTCTGTCTGTCCGTCCGTCTGTCTGTGTGCATGTGTGTACGTGTGCATGCATGCATGCATGGATGCTGCGTGCTTGCATGTAAACATGTAAATGATATGCATGCATGTAGCATACATGTATTCATGAAAAACATACATACTTTCGTGCGCCGTGTTGAGGTGCCTTTCGCAATGGTTTTCTCCCACCCCCCCAAACTACCTGGGACCCCCAACCCCTGCACCGCATCCAACACCTCAAGCCTGCCCGAAAAAACAAGCCTCGACCAAGCCCAAACCAAGCATTTGTCACACCAACCCACCCTAGTTCCACCCTCTTAATCTGCTCCAAAACATAGGAAAGAAAACCAGCCCTTACTCGACCATAAACAAAACATAACAAAACACCCCTGAATCCACCCTGAAACAGCCCTAAATTAAGCCTACCAGTACAAATCGCATTTGAAACCAAAATGTGCACCCCTCTCAAAACTCTGGTGTCCTTTCCGAAATCGCACTCCTCGTCCCACTTGCTTGCCGAGTGACACATGCCCAGCAGCAGCAAGGCGCGGCGGAAGAAGACGGGGTTCATGCGGTCGCCCAGATTCGCACCATGGGCTTGGCTGCAGAAGGTGGCCAAGCCGATCGTGGCCTCGAATTCCACACCCCGTCCGATTTTCAGGACGCCCGAAAAGCGCAGCTGGCTTCCCCAGCCGTAACGACGGGTGAACAAGAATGGCGAATCAAACCGATGTAAAGGAACCTGACCCCAAACACAAGTAGATCCCAAGGACTTGGCAAGGGCTTGTTAAGGAGCTGCTAGGACACGGATGCCGCAAAAAGAAACCAGACGTAGCGCCTAGCAGGACCTGGCCCTTCAGGGTTGGACTTATCCCGCGTTTGTACTCATAATAGGAAGTTTACAAGGAACTTCCATGGTGCGGACGTTCAAACTGAAAGCTAGCTCTCTGACAGAAGATGGCACTTAAATCTCCGGTGTTGGAAAATCAGGCTGCTTAGGACAGGGGGGTTACAGCAGGGCGTGTTGGGAGCCGAGGACCAAATCCATAGGAAAAGGCACGCCTGTCTCGCGACCGAGCGCGACGGCAAGCCGAGAAGCGCTAACGCCCAGCGACAGGCCGGTGATGTTGGAATACATCTTGCCGATGCCTGCTTTGTTTCATTGTTGCGAACCAGCTTCCAAGCAGTAGCCAAACAGGGGTGGCCATAGAAACTACTCGACTGAGCCCTGTTTGAGCCGTTGCTGGCAGGCGACTAGTGGTTTGGTGGTTCAGGGGTTGCCCATTTACCTACAAGAACCAAGGGTTCAATCCCCAAACCACAAGTCCAAACCACCAAGGGGTAGCCTGAGCTAACACACGGTCCCGAGCACGGCTCACTCACTGGTTTCTCGACGGTATGGGGTGTTCTGCTATCGGAATCACCAGTCGCTCACTCGTTCTTGGTGGCGTGGCTCGTTGATGTGAAAGTCCAAAACTGGGAAATCCAAAACTAATAAAACAGCTCAGAGACTCATGCAAATTCAGAAAACGCACCCATGTCCAAATTTTGACTCACATTCCACAAGAGTCACAAGCCAAGTAAGCCCCAGATCCACCCCCATACTTTGTGGTTTTGTTTTCAAAACACAAAACCGATCCGGTCCCTATTCCGTTTAACTGACCCAATTCTAAACCAATACTACACTCCTGACGGCCAATAGGGTGTCCGGCCAGCACATGTGTTGTCCAATTGCTACAGGGAAAAGAAAAAACGGGAGGCCTGCCTTGCTCCGTCAAGGAAGCTCATTCGCACCTCGATTGTATCAAAACTTGTAAGCTCAAATGTGAAAGCGCATTTTATTTGGCGGAAGTATTTCTTCCCACATAACAATGGGGGAGCCCTGGGACGCTAATAAGACACATGCTTTCCAAAACAAAGATTCACATGGGGGGCCCATGCAGGATTCAGGAGGGGGCAGGGACTCTGGTGACCAGCAACAGAGTTTCCTGCATGTCACCCGAGCAAACCTGCAGAAACAAATGCACCTTGATCTTCCAGGACCCTGGAAAAGCGGGGTCCTAGGGCCGAATTTCCAGTTGGAGTCAAGATCAAAATCAAGAAGGACCCTGGTGCGGGTCCTTGGAAGACCAAGGTGCAGAACATTTGCAAACCAAAGGGTGATGTATCCGAACGTCTCTTCTGTGGCCGGAGGCGTTGCGGCACAGCTGAGGTGTTCCCTCAATGAAACCAAAGCATCTCCAGTTTCCTCTGATGTCTGGCTCGCTGGGCCGAGTCCGAATCAGTGACCCTTCATATGTCTGAGAAAATGCCTTTCCTACCTCTTCCAACAAAAACCGGAAGGAGGTGTTCCTTTTCGGTCGCTTCCTGAGCCGACTATCCGTCTCATTACCGGCCTGCGCCGTCGAAGTGCGCGCGGTTCTGAAAGTCGTAGTGCCCTACGAAGGTCAGGGACCACCGGTCCGCGCCCACGCCTCCGATCCATCGCTATCACGTGGATTTCCCGCCGGGTGTGCGGGGAATCTGTTTCTGGTTTGGACGGGGACCCCACACATTTTGTTGGTGGTGCTTTTGTTCATTGTTTTTTCATTGAAACCGCGCAAAACGGGATACCCGCAAAAAAAGACAGAGCCTAATGGAATTCGGAGTTTCTGATTCGTTGGTTGGATTTGTGGCTGAAGTGCAACCCTGTCAAGTTCACGACATTGGCCCTACTGTGGATGGACGAAATCCTGCACCACCTGAGAAACCCTGGAATGATGATTCCCCTGTAACCACCAACCAACAATGGTTTCCCATGGTGTCAAGTGGTGCAGGATTTTGTCCATCCACAGTATCACTGAAACCTGAACAAGAAACCTGCCTGCTTGAACGAATCTCGCTGGGAAGCCACGTGCAAATGGATGAGTCCATCTGTGGCGTGAAGGACACCGGGCCAATGCCGGAAGAAAAAGAGAGTCAGATCCCTTCTTAGCACCCCTTCTTACCTAGAGTCGCCATGACCCTTAAAAAATGGGTCAATGACCACATTGTTTTGAGTAATAACCCCATGTTTTTAGGGTCATGGAGACTCTAGGTAGGATCTTGCGTGTGGCCTTTGGTTTCCTCCGAAATATTGGACGGCTTGTATCTCACAACCTGCGGGATGCTCTGTATACTCGGCTCAAATCACAGTGGCAAATGGCACACAACTGCCATTACGAATGGCCCGACTAAAACAAGAAGAAACCAGTCAGGAATGTGCAAGAGACTGGTGGCAATAGAGACTTTTGGAACCATTGGATATGGTGCTTAGAGTCAGGACAAGAGACTGGTCATTTTGCATCACAAGTTCGCTGCGACACGAAAAGACTCGGGTATGCCGCGGCAACAGCCAACCCGCCCACGATCGCACACGGGGATCCCCATGCTCATTCAAAGGGGGGGGGGTGTATAGCCAGCAGGTCTTGGAGCGCTTGGATCTTCGTTTGGTGGGAATGACACTTGACCCATCAAGAAGACCCCCCAATAAGAAATCGAGCCTGGACGATATACACAAAAACATGTATCACGGCTCTACTACGACTTTCAGTGACTTTGTATTCTCCAAATCTGTCCAAGCTACATTTGCAGTGGAGGGCAAAATGTATGATTTCAGGGCAGTCCCGCGCATCAGCAACATAGTTGTTATCTCTGACAACTACCCCAACCTCCGCCATTGAGTCATCCCAGGAAGAAAGAAACACATACCATACAAGAACTCCCGATTAATAACTGCAGGCTCTCATGACTTACGCGTTCGCACACCCGGTAAATGCTTTCGGCTGGGGGGGGACTTCCTTTCATCTTTCATTAGCATTTCCGGGACCACAAACGACGCAACATTTACCATGGCCATCTCCCTTTATGTAGAACGAAAGAGGGCAAAAGGCAACCAGCAAGCACAGCAAATGGAGGTTTACTTTTCAACAACAAGGTAGCCACCCCGCAAGCGAGTTGTGTCTTATTCCAACGCTGCAGGCGAAATTGTGGAAAACATACGACCCAGTCTGAAGGGTTGCTTTCCCCAAAACTCGCCCATTCAGCCAACGGGCTGCAGAGTGGGCCCTGGTATTCCTTTCAATTCAAGGCCCTGGAAACAGGTGGCCACTGAGTGGACCGCCCCTCCCCTTGAGCGACCCTGGCAGCGATTCTGCTCTTGTGCGACTGCCACCAAACACGGAAGTTTGAGGGCTGAACAGCGGGGGTGTAGTTTGGTGGTGTTCAAATCTCAGTTTGAGACACACCAACCTTGTTTCCAGCAACGGAATCCAAGCCTAGAGTTGTCCTTTGGTTTCCCTTTCCAACCAAAAAACAGCTACCCTGTAACAGGAGCAACACCCATTTTGAGGGTTCCATATTAGCCCCGGACAAGATAGCGTACTTCCCTCAGGGGGTATCAATACTTGGAGCCACATCTGTTCTTTTGGGAAGATTGGATCGCCTCGTCCTCTCCAACCCAACCCAAAACCTTGAAACCAAGCTTCACAGCCAACCAATTTCTCTCTAAAACCCACCTCTGAACCAAAACCCAATCCCCAACCCAACCCAAAACCTTGAAACCAACCTGCAGCCACCTTTTAACCCACCTCTGAAAGGCCACCCACTGCCCCTCCACCCCTCTCCGAGTTGCTGAGCAGCGCTGAGCCCACGATGGGCGTGATGAGGCGCAGGAGCTCTTTCAGAGACCTGGCCTACCGGGCGATCACCGGGATCCGGCAAATTCTTCGGTGCCTTTAATACCTATTGTTGATCAAAAATACCCAATTGTTGATACCCATTCATAATTGTTAGGGTGCCCTTGATTTTTGGATCACCCATTTTGAAGGCACATACCCAAACTTTTTCGATGACCCAAGAAACAACAGGGATCCGGATGCATGAAAAACACCTGAACATTGCAACTTGTAAATGGTGGGCCACCCAACTTTATTTTGGTGTTGAAAAAGCCATATGTTTCAAATGGTGGCAAATGAATTTCTTTTGAGGAGCCCTGTAATGGGCTGGGCTGGGCTGGGTGGGGTGGAGGGTGGGTGGGGTGGGGTAGGGTCTGGGGTGTGGGATGTGGTGTGGTGTGTGGTGTGGGGTGTGGTGTCGGGTGTAGGGCGGGGTGGCTGGGTCACTGAGTGGGTAAGTGAGTGGAGCGAAGTGAAGTGCAGTCGCGTCGAGTTCAGTCAGTGCGGGGGAAGAAAGGAGAGAGGCGGAGGTCGCGGAGGAAGAAACAAAGGAGGAGGTGGCGCAGACGCAGTAAAAGTCTAGTGTAGCAAAACGCCTTGCAGTACAACCTTCCCGGAAAACAAACAAAGAACTGGTCCAACTTGGTCAACGCAAATGTCTTGGTTTTGCGACTGAGGGCACAGGCCTCGTTTGTAGAGCAAAGTGTGCTAACAATCTAGTGGGGAGTAGTTAGTTTGGTTGGTTGATCGTAGTGCAACCCTGGTTGCTACAAGTTCTTGATTGAGGTGGAAAGGAACCCTAGGTGCTGGTTTAGATTTAACTCTAGATGCTTGCATTTCAATGGCAAATGAGTTGGTTCTGCCCATGGCAACCTAA